TGTCAAGTTGAACTATCTTCTCTATATTACTATCGTACTAGTATTCTGTGTGGGATTCACTTATAATTGTGGCACTAGTTATCGTAATCATTTGGTCTTCTTTCTTCTGAAGATCCTCTGTTCCTTTTGTCAAAGTGCACTCGGCTGATTCAATTACTTCAGAACCATGCTTTGACGGAATAAAATGATTTTTTTATCTTCTTTTCTACTATTAGTTTCACTCTAAGATATTAAATGTTAGGCCTATGTCAGTCATTACGCCTGTCACTTCTATGGTAGTTAACATCACACCGAATTTATTCTCTTTTGATATTATCTGTTTGCTTCAGTCTATCTGCTGCTTCCCGCTCATCTCACGCTATTTATATCTTTATTACCTAATCGTGTGTCCACCTTCTATATTCTCAACATCAATGAATTATTAACAAACCTTCCTACAACCATCTGCTTTCAACTCTTATTAGAACTAAAACTAAACAATAATAAAACATTCACTACATAATTAAATTAATCAATACTATCTAAACGAAACAGTGTTTTATAGCATAACAGTCAACCTAGTGGAAATTCAGGATTTTTACATAATTTACATAATTAAGACAATCTCATTCTTTGTGTACAAAATACTTGTAATATTTAACAAAATCTTACCATATGTTGTGAAGATATGTTAAGAAAGCTCAGAGTTATTGTAAGTATTGATAAACTGTGTATCATTCTCCATACCAGAAGTAGCCAAATGGGCTCAACCCATAACCATAAGGTTGGTTACAAGGTCATTCAAATTGAAGAAGTTTTTAAAGAGTTCAGATATAGAAAATAACAGATAAAATATAAAGTTTTACTAAAAAAACGTTTGAAATTTATTTAGGTGGTTGTAGAGGCTATGTAAATGAAATTTGAAAATTTTCTGATGAAGAAAAGTTTTTAATCTTAACATGAAAATCACTTTGCACTCAGAGAAGTCAATGCTCTGACTCCATATGTTCATGACAAATTTTGAGTTAAAGTACTTAATTGAAAAATCTGATTTTTTGGATGTAAAAGATTTGTAATGTTTAGTAAAAGCTTGTCAAATTTCATGAAGATATATTGAGTATTTTCATAATTGTAGTATGTATACCTTCATGGTTACATGGTGGTTACATACAGTTAATTATGAAACCTCATTCTTTAGCTTTTATGACTAGTTTATAAGATGTTATGTTGTGGTATTTAATTAACAGTGTGTCATTATTTTAATTTCATTTACAATTTCATTCATTTAGCATAATTAACTGTAGTTTGCTTATAAAATAATTGTCATAATTTTCACAAGAAATATAGTAAAGTATATTTAAATATGATAAAATTGGGTTTTGATATTCTTCTATATTAAACATTTTATTTTATCTGTAACAAAAAAAAGGATTAGTTTTAACACTTATTATAGACTACATTGTTGATTCAGCTTATTCCTAAGTACAGATAAGTTTAAAGGTAGGTAGATGGTAAAATTAATTATCTTATGTGTCAGTTTTAATTACATACAGAAAAAAATCAACATAGATAGTTATGATGCATATTTTAATGTGCTCTATTACAAAGATTCTTTTTAAGTTTCAAAGAGACCTTTTATCAAAGAAATAACTAATAAATTAAAAACATAACATGAGCTGTACATGCTCATGAGTATTAGAAGAAAGTTAGTTATTACAACTTTAGCAGTACTAATCTTGTGTTTATAGTATATGAATATATATTACTTTAAAAGCTATATCATTGTACAGTTTGATAAATCAAATAGCTTTACACTGCATTTGAAATCAAGAAAGTAAATAATATATTCATGATTTTACTCAAAATATTATGCCTTTCAATTTCAAGATTTATTGTTTTTGATGTTGATGTCATACAGCGGGAGCGTTTGGAAAAGAAATTAGAAGAATCTCGGCAACACTTGAGTGAAGTGAAGTCCACTTGGAGTGAGAAGATAAATAGTTTAGAAACACAGGTAAGTAACAGACTGTGTGTGATCTTTAGCAGTTCTACTTAAGTACATGTAATAATGCACATAAGCTAAATAATTAAATTTTCCAAATGGTTTGTGTGTTCAGTATTGTCTTACTGAGTTTAATAACAGAAATTAAAATTGAAAAACTTAAAATTTAAGGGTATTACTTTTTGTCTAAGGTCAAATAATGAACAGATAGGAAACCTAAGGTTTATCACTATTCTTTACATTTATTGGGGAATTCTTCATAAGATGATATAAAAAATTTATTGTAGCCTAAGAGAAATAGTTAATATTTGAAACCATTGATACATGGTGAAGTTCCATAACTACAGAATTGAGGAAAATAAAAATGATTGTATGTTTCACAAATATTTCACTTGTTACAACTGTTGTTTCACCAGTAAAGACTTCATCAGACTGTACATCTTCAAATAATTCTAGTAAATATGAGAAGAATTCATTACATTTGATTTCAGAATGTGTTTTACACATGTAGAAAGGCAACATATTGTCATTCTCATGCAGCATTGTCCACAGTAAGAAAAACAAGATGACAAATAGAACAGAATTTAAGCTTGGATGTTCTATCTTTGAAATGGAAAAAAACTTGAGGCTTAAATTTAAGAGGTACCTGCAGAAAAAAAAACAGATGGAGTCCAGGTTTTGGGGTCGGAAGTGGTTTTTGTCTGGGACTGAGTCATTGTTTTTGGCATTTAATATTCGCATAGACAATTCATTTTTCATCACTGGTGACAATTCTGTCAAAAAATGGTTCATGCACCAGAAGCGACGAAGCAGCGTTCACACTTGGAAACAGTGATCATCAGA